TTCTCCCTTTTGGGAGCAGCATCGTGGAAAAATCCTACTTCTGCCCCCAAAAGAAATTAAACGAGACCTGACCATTTTACAGAAAGACATGTTAATCCGTCTAGAGGAAAACATCCGAGGGCTTTTAACTCGATTTGGCGAAAAATCTTTCTCTGAGCGCATGTCTAAAACCCAATTTCTGCCCTGAAAAGAAAAGCAGTGAGCGAGTATTGCTCCGAAAGGAGAACTTGGAGGGGCTTTTAGCAAAAAAGACAATTTGAAAAACATATTTGGTTTTGTAAAACTTCACCTTATGCTTTCAAAAGTTCACTTTGAGATTATTACTGCCAAAAATGCCTGTGTTAGGGAAACTACTGCACAACTTAGTGAAAATCCAAGGGAGCCTATACCCTGGAATAATATCGTTCCTTCGCCAAGAAAGTAAAGCATTGGGCAAGTCTCGGTCATTTTGAAAGCATCATCAATTATATTAGGTTGAACCGAAAGTTCTGTCGCACCATTTTCAAAAAATCATAACTTCTTTACCCCACAGTGATTTTGCGCAGTTCAAATTTCGTCAGAAAGCGTAAAGCATGCAGTTTCCAAAGGTTCCCTGGAAACTTCTCAACATGCTCAGGTTGCAGAGATAAAAATGAAAGAACGAGATTATCCGAACATCGAAATTTTTAAGCAAAAATTCTAAGAATTCAGGAACTGTGCGGTAAAATCCAGAACAGCCATCATTCTAAGTTTTCTGGCATTTTATTACTAACTGAATCAAGTTTGTGTTGAGCGAGCTCTTCTTGTAAAAGTTATGACTTTTTGAAAAAAAGCCGAAAAACCAATTTCTCAAGAATTCTTAGGAAATCGATTTTTCGGCATTTTTTTCAAAAAATCATAACTTCTGAAAGAAGACTCGATCAGCACAAACTCAACTCAGCTAGTGATGAACTTTAAGGAAACTTAAGATAGCAGGTGTTCTGGATTTTATCGCACAGTTTCTAGATTTTTAGAATTTTTGCTTAAAAATTCCGAATCTTGGATGATCTCGTTCCTTCATTTTTATCTCTGCAACCTGAGCATGTTGGAAAGTACCCAGGGGACCCTTGAAAACTACATGCTTTACGCTTCTCGATAAAATTTGAATTGTGCAAAATCGTCGTGAGGGAAGGAAGTTATGATTTTTTGAAAATGGTGCGACAGAACTTTCGGTTCAACCTAATATGTAGTAAAGGCTTTGCCATTGTTTACGTACGTTTGCCCTGTAAAAAAGGCAATATGAAAGTATGGTCAATTTTTGTCATGGAAGACAAAAATTTGACACGTTTTGTGGCCAGAAGTTCTATCTCTGAAAACCGGTCTAGTTTTGTCCCAATTTAGCTCTGCTACATGAAAGATGATTACTTAATGTCTAGAGGAAAAAACAATAATGTTGGGAGTGTTTTATCCTGCATGCGACATCCAACGTTAATGATCGTAGAAATTGGGAATCAGTTTGTGCAAGATATTACATACGCAGCCAATGTGTTTGCCCCAACTCACTTGCCAGCGAACCGGAGTGTAGCTAATATACAGGGTGTCCCAAAAAAGTGTATTTACTGTTTGATTGTAAATGACTCTCTCGTAATGAAGTGTTTCGAGAAGGTACCATTCTAGGTACCATTTTTTTAAAGCGAGATTGAACTTAGATTTACTGTATGGAGCGAATCATCAATCGCTCTTCATTACTGTAGGATTACGGTAAAAACTTCCAGCATATGAAACCATTGTAAAGTATACCACCTTTTTTTCCAAAAATCTGAAAAATCGTGTAATAGGGTTTTCGCGCATGCTGATTCCACCTAACAACTTTTTACGAGTGTTTTCAGCTTTTTTGACGGTGCAACTACATTTCTGACAAATGCTGGAAATTGATATATCACGGTTTACCGTGGATTACTTAGGAAAGAAGCATTACAGTAAAATGGGAATTTCAAATTCGAAATCAGCTGATCCAGTTACTTAGTATAAAAGTTTTTAGCTTGTCTGGTTTTGTTCCGAGGCAGAATATAGCCTCCACTGGCCTAAAATCTTTGGTGAAGTTCGTAAAGCTTCTCGAAACACTTCATTACAAAAGAGTTTTTTTTACAATCAAACAGTAGGTATTAGGTTGATGCATAATTTCTGCACCAAAATAGGTACAGACCGCAATAATCCGGAACAATCTCATATCCCAAATGGGATTCGAACAATTAGATAGAGCAAACCTAGCTCTACAAGATAGTGCTTAAAGTTTTGTAGCAGCTTTGGTCCAAGCGAAGATTGAAGCCAAAAACAAAAAAGATCCAAGTGCCCCAAAAAATCAAGAAAGAAGTAGAAGTCCGTTCAGAATAATCCTTCAAAATTCCTAACCTGCTCATGCATTGCCATTTCGTATAAGGCATTTCTCTATGCAGTTGCTGTATTTTTCTTTCAGCTAGAATCTGAGAAAAAGAAGTTCTTTGTGTTTTTTTTTTCAACCAATGCTGAGATGTCCTAGCAGTGACAGTTGTATAATATAGGATCTTAAAAGCGTGAGTGTGAATTTTCAGCTTTTTACAGCAGCTGGTTTACGAGAAATATCGAATTTTTGGCAACTAGGCAAGAAAAATCCGGATGACGAGAGCTAGATTCGTCATTTTTCGTGAAATAGCTGTTCTAGAAAGCCGAAAATGTAGAGGTTTACTGCTAATGGCATGTACTATACAAATGTTAGTGCTAGAACATCCCAGCACTAATTTGGCAAATACATGAAAAACTTCGTTTTCTCGTCGTCTAGCTGAAAGAAAATCCAGCAACCGCAAAGATAAATGTCTTACGTGGAATGTCTACGCGTGAGCAGGAAAGAAATTTTGTAGGAGCTTTATGAACGAAGTTACAATTTTGTTTTGACTGGTCATAAGGTTTTCGGCATGGTTTTTTTCAGTTTAAAACTTCGCGTGGATCAAAGCTGGTGTATAGATTTGAGCACTATCTTGTAGAGCTAGGTTTGCGCTATCTAATGGTATATCAAATCCTATCTGGAATGTAGGATTATACCGGATTATTGCGGTCTGTACCTATTTTGGTGCAGGAATTATGACTCAACCTAATATTAGGTTAGTCCGAAAGTTTTGTCAGTTTTTTCGATTCAACGGCAAACACGCTAGAGTGAAGATAGACAAACGCTTCAATGCATCTAATGCAGAATTTCTTTTTTTCCAGCTGCTGAAATTCCCACTGTGTTTTGTTGCGAGAGTGGCGAGATATTTGCTGGAAATCACAAACACTCGTTTTTACCATGTCCAACTTTCTCTATTCTCAAAATTTTTGTATGAGACTTTCAGAGGAGCTCTAATAATCAGCAAATAGAACAAACCTCTTGCCAACAAAAGCAATTTTTTGTAGCCCTACGGCTTGTCTTTCAGAATTTCTACGATTTATTTCTTGAAGTGACCAAATTATATATTCAACCTATTTTGACCTCGTGAACCATAAAATGCTAAACACTTCAGTTACCATTCGATGCAGATTTTTCTCCTTTTTCTAACACTTTTCTTTTTTTGCGAAACAGGCGAAGCTTGTGGGAAAAATCGCAGTATTTCTCAATTTCAGGAGTGCGCACTGGCGTAACCTATGCTTCAAAGTCTTCATATTTTGAAGCGAAAATCGCTCATTTACTTTGTAATGGTAGCGGTAGTAATAATCATGTGCTGACACCTCAGTTTTCTGTAGGTTTTTCAGTGTTTGGAGCAATAACAGAACAGAAGACTTTTCAAAACAAGACTTTTGGAAACTATGTAGCAAAAATTTGGAAAAGCACCTGATGAAAAGAAAAAATTGCATAAGTTGGCAAAATGTTAGCCCTATCTGCTGGTTATCAGGGCTCCTCCGAAATCTCACATAAAAATTTTGGAAATTAGCGAAAGTTGGACATGATAAAAACGAGTGGTTGTAATTTCCAGCGGATATCTCATCATTCTCGCAACGTAACACAATGGGAGTTCAACAGCTGGAAAAAGGAAGAAATTCTGCAATGGATACATTTTGAACTTTTGTTTATCTCTATTTTAGCATGTCTGCCGAAGGATTGAAAGAAACTGACAAAACTTCCCACCTAAGACATTTTTTGGGACACACTGTATATATACAAAACTCCCCATACCGTTCCACGTCTAAAACAATCTTTCCATGCTTTCACCACTTCTATATCCCAGCTCCGTGCCCCGGTCTCGTTAACGTCATGTTCTTTTTTACTCTTGTCTTCTCCTTCTGTATCAACGTTCAGCCTCGTGCGGAAAGTTTGCGAAAAAAAACGACAAAAGCAGTGAAAGTAGTTGGCTTTTTCACAAGTAACTGTGTTCGTAATCAACGATTTCACTTATCTATCGTGCTCCTCCCAGCCCGTAGAACTCTGCAGAAAATTGATAAACATGATGAATGTGATTGATGTTCCAAATACTAGTATTTTATTACCAGCATGCTCACTTCCCTCCCCCTCCCCCCATCCTGTGCCAACTCCCAGCAAATAGTCTTCAAAAAATCAATAACTTCGTTGATCGATAGCGAAAAGTAGCCTATGACACCCTCTCCTCTTTATCAATTCTATCAATTTTTATTACTGTGAATCTCTGTAGACAAAATGGTAAGTAGTGGTGATCTCTTTAGTCCAACTAGCCTTTCTGAGGTTTTCAATTCATAGAACAAATTACATCATATCGTGAAAAGTCGCAAAAATTCGGAGGGTTTTTTATATCATAATTTAAAATTTCTAGACGCAGATGCGAACTGATCTGAAAGTGAAACCCTCTTTGTGTCTGAAACCTGCGCGCTTGTCTAAGCGAAGGGAAAACTTAGTTGCAGACTATATCTGCTGGAAAAGAAGAACTGCGTCGGGCACTACTTTGGACTCACCCTGGAAGTACAATCTAATCTAACCACTATAGGTTTTCGACAAAGAAAGAACCGAATGAATCGAGAGGCATGGACAAATACAAGTGAGCTCAATGCTTCAACAAACTTACGAGCGATAAATCGAACGAGAGCTGAGATTCACGGTCCGCGGACAAGATTCGATAAGAACTGCAGCGACTCCGCTATGTTGCAATCCCATGACTGTAAAGCATTCAATTGTGCCTTCTTAGTCCAAAGATAACTGGTACAATTGAATAAGTTCAGCAATGCGAGTGATTTAAAGCTGTATAGACATCTCCTATTGCTTTGGCTCACTCGCACTGCTGAACTTGTTCGAATGCTTGAGTTATTTTTCAGAATATACTTGCATAAGATGGTCGCAAGGTAAGCAATATCAACATATTTCAAATATCAACATACTTTCAGAACTTTTGTTATGCAAGTTTATCGAAATTGGTGTATTCAGTGCAGTGGAAAGGCAGTATTTGTGCTTTAATATCAAGCATTCAACAGCAGAATGCATAAAGCAATAAAGCCTAAAAACTCCAATTACGAGATTAGAGTTAATGAATAGAAGCTGTGTTATATGGAGTCGTTATATCTGTGTGGTATAGATGCAAAGGTGAAAGAAACTGCACTTATAAGTGAACGATACTTGGGACCATCTTGTTATATCACTATATATTGAAACGCTGGTTACAAATCCCTTTCACTCTCTGCTGAGCATCTCTAACAAGAACGTTTTTCCATGAGAATTTGCCCTCGTATTCAAATTCGAGACAAGTCCCGAGCCTAGTGCGAGTTCTGCACAGGTCTCCTCAGGACTTGCGCATTTACGTACCATTGATGAAGCGAATAGCAAGCATCCGCTGCGCTAAAGTAAATACCAATCCTACAATGTAATAGAAGAGGAAGGATGAGCGCTAGGCAAATCAGTACAGGCAACGTGATACTCAGGGTGCCCCTCGCAATAACCCTCAAATTACTGATAATGTAGAAGCAACTGTGCTGCTTTTGCTACTGTCGCAAATACAACAAACTGCGTAATTCGTTGAGGAATAAGCAGAGAAATAGCGCTTAATTGATATTTATTTTGTGGCACCTGACCTATGCAGGCAAGAAAGCACGGAGAAAAGTGTAAACAAACGTGCTTTTGACACAAAAAGCGCATTCGTGGTTGCGCATGTTGTATCGCCACACCATGACATTCATTGAGACTACAGCGTCGCTAAAATTAAAAAAAATTTTGACACCTCACTATTAATTCTATTGTGAAAGTGGTGGCGTGTGAGGAACCTAAGCTTGTTGAGTTTTGGATGAAAAGATTTCCGCTCGCCATAACTAACGGCCTCGCGCGCTCTCTAGCTTAAACGTTCTTACCTAGAACGTAGACTTTGAGCAGTCATATTGGTATTAGGGTGTCTCATAATTTTTTCGTGTTTACTGCAACCGTCGTTTTGTACTTTCCTTCAAGTGATGTGGCACGAGTGATCATTCGAGAGAGCAAAGCAAGCAATACAGGATGGCTATCAAGAGTCTGCTCAAATTGCGTTTCGCGTGAAGTTTTGAGCTGTAATCTGATAACAATAAAAAACGGACTTTACCGTCGAAAATCGTATCCCCGCCCCAAAAATCACAAAACCATCTATCCTAGCATATGCTTGACACATCGTACATTCAACTGTACACTTTCCGTGTTTTTTTCCATGGCTAAATGTGAAGAAATAAATAAATAGATTTAAATGGCAAACTCCGCCCCTAGATGTCCTGAGCTCCTTCCAAGCATGTGACCATATAGCCCATATAACAGAATTACGATGATGTATTTGTGCCCTTTCTTGATGCATCAGTTTTCGAGAAATGCTGGTGTTTAGGGAAACGGTAGAAAAATTATGAGACACCCTATAGAATTTCTTTGTCCACCACTGCCGTTACGTGAGACTCACGCTTGGCAAAATCTAACTCGGACTGTTTTCTTAAGCATCGATTATGCCAAACTCATGTTCCTTCCTCTCAGTTGTTGAGAAATTTGGAAAGCAAATCTTATTTGCTCCCCACTTACAGTCTTTGACGAATGCAAACTGTTCCAGGTAAGTCGAGCTTTACAGTAAGAAACTTACTATGTCTCCCAGGTTTTTGGCCGAACGGTTTCTATTCAACAGAAAAACTATTTCGTCAGCTTCGCGATTCGAAATATCGCTTTGTGCGCAGAGTTTCTCATCTGTAACGTCGACTCTATTTTTCATTATCTGATTGCACCACACCTTCATAGTTCATAATCTGCATGATATTCCTTACCCGACCCCGACTGCGCGGCTGCACATATCAGGGAAACCTGTAAAGACCTTATGCATTGATTCTCTTGATCTGAGAAAGAGTTAAAGTGAAAACTCACGGCCACTGCAATGAGGATAACTCTCTTCATGTGTGATAAAATCGACAACTCCGCCCCCTATTTATGCAAATCCTATCCAGCATATTTTGTGGGGGTGGAAAATCATTGTAGAGTAGACAAAGGATTTGCCGGAAATACCAACAACGAATCATGACATAGTCAATATGACACTTTTTTACTACCAAATCTCACAAAAAGCTAGAGCAGCAAGCAGATTTGGTATGCATTTGTATGTGCAGTTTGCCTCCTTCAGATATACGCGTCAATTATTTGCTTAAAATTGCTCAGAACAAAATTGTGGAATAGTTTTTGTCTCATCACGTTTTTATGGCCTTTCTCAATTAGGCAATAAAAATTGTTTTTCCAGCAAGAGACTGGATTCGAATTGACTTTTTAGAATTTATAAATTGATCTGAACAATGAGCAGAGAAGTTCTTGTTTGTAGATTCTGATTTAGGTGTTTGACCAAAATGTCTCGCTGTAAAACAAAAACTTTCCCAGAAGAAAACGAGAACTTTTTTAAACTTGTGAAATTAACTGACTCTGACAATTTTTTGCTGCTTTTTAGTCATATTCCGGGCTTAGAAAATCTTGAACCTAGAAGAAGATAAACCTTTTGAATTGAATATCGTCATAGCTGCAGCTGCTCACGAACGAAAAGTTTTATAAATGGCAATGCTAGATACTTCTAAACTAAAGAACCAGAGAGCCCTGCATGTTAACAGGGAACGACAATTCACATCTTTTGGATTTTATGAAGGTTCACATACCCTAATATCTGAAGAGTGAAGCGTGCGGATTCGAAGTGGCCTTTTCCAACGATATGTATCAGTGGCGTACCCAGGATTTCGGCTCGGGGGGGGGGGGGGCGCGACAAAAAAAATTTTCTAATGAAGGTGCGTGGCGTTAGGCACGCACTCCGAAAAATTTTTTGGGGTGCTTATCAAAATTTTTGTGGGTCCCGGACCCCTAAAATCTGGAAAAAGGGGGCGTGGCGTCAGCCACGCCCCCGAAAAAATTTTTTTACAAGGCTAATTTGAATTTTTAAAAATTTTTAAAAATTATTTTAATTATTTACAAAAATAAACAAGTCAATTGCACATTTTTATAACCCATATAGGTAGCTTTCAAAAATTTCGCGACCCATTCTCGGGGGGGGGGGGGGCGCCCCCCCCCCCGCCCCCCCTCGGTACGCCACTGATATGTATGTATGTGTGTTTGTAAATCCCGGCAAGCAATATACAAATCAGTTTTCCATATCTGCGAAGCGATCCTCTGAATCAAGATATAAGCGTGCGAATTTCGCGAAATTTCGCGCTCAGCACAAGTATGAGTGGATTGCTTCAGCAGAGTGTAGTAGCGTAATGCATTGACAAGTGGTTGTGCTCGTAGTCTTCAAGATCTAGGTTCGTGCTCATAGTCTTTTTTTTAACACTTCTGCACTTGCTATTTTTGTCTTCAATGATAAGCTGAAGGTCCTACAGCATTAGAAACAAAATTCATTGCAAAAATACAGCTACGGGTCACTGATATGGCTAGCGATTTTATGATAATGTGTATATGCGATGATTTGACGTGATAGCATGTTATTCTTGACTACTGAAGCTCAGGACTGAACTAACTTGTAGTAGTGTCTTGCTTTAGTGATGGTATTCTTATTTCAGCCTTCGGTTTTTTGTTGAACTAGTCTAGCTAATTTCCGGAATCAAATGAAGATGTATTTTTGCAATGATTTTTGTCTCTGATACTGCTAGGACCCTCAGCTTATAATCGAAGACAAAAAGAGACAAGCACAAAAACGCAAAAGTGTTGACAAGGAAAGAATTTGAACCTAGACCTCAAAGACTGTGACCCAACCACTGTCATTGCGTTACGCCACTACACTCTGCTGAAGCAGTCCACTCATACTTGTGTTGAGCGTGAGATTTTGTGAAATTCGCACGCTTTATATCTTGTCCTAGAGGACCGCTGGGCAGGTACAGAAAGCTGTTTTGTGAGTTGCATACAAGAACCTACAACCCCACACACATGTGTTGGAAAAGGCCTCTTCGAGTTCGCGCGCTTCCCTTGTGAGTATGATGGAAGGCATAACATTACCATACAAACCGAGTTTTTCACTATTTCGGTGATCCCTTAATGAATGAAAAGAATATAACCTAACATTTTCCGAGTCTTTGATCTTCTTATGAACTCAATAAAGATATTGTAAAATTGCATTGAGGATATATATTTCACTTTTGAACATGTTTAGTAGAAATCATTGAAATGTCAGGTTATTGAATCTTCGATGAATTGCTGTTTGCAAGCTGAGGTTTATCGAAGGACAAACGATTTGCGCGAATACTTGTTTAATCGAAAACATTTCTATTAGTGCCATAATAGATAACCAATGCAACCTCACGGCTTGCATCACTTTTCTAAATAAATAGACGACATTGAAAATAGGGGATTCCCAAGGAATCACACGAAAGATTGAAAATCTTAGCGTATGCGATGTTCTGTCATCCGTTATACTAAGTATCGAGTTTAAAAATTTCGTAACCTAGATAGAAAAAAGAATACATATTTTAGAGCACCTTCCTCTTATCAGCGAGGATGTATTATGCGCATACGGGCCTTAGCGAGCCTCCAGACCGCGCCGATTGCCGCTTGCAGCAGAAACGGACTAGATTATGTTTTTTTGTGTGAAGTGGAACGGAATAAAGGGTTTTTGGCTTTCCCTCTTCTTTCGTTTGAGAGTTTTCTTCAGTGTTGTAATAAATTAGTCTGTAGCAGATGTGTTTTAGTGTGTTTTACCTGATTTGGCTTCCTTCTTTTCATTGTTCTATGAAGCTGAGTGATCGAATCATCGTAAGAAAAGTCGAAAAAAGCGAAGATTCAAGATTTCATCAGATTTCAAGATTTTTCTAAATCGTTTACTGTCATGCTTTAGTCGAGGAGTAATATAAAGGATGGCTTGAAGCGCCTGGCTGCCGCTTGTTAAGTCGCTTAGAATGGAACAATAACTCACCTATCTGCATTGAGAAAATGTAATATATTCATTGGACACAGGGTGTTATTCTTTCAATCTTAATGTTATTTTCAAAACTGTTAAGTGAAAATGGGAGCATTACAGATTGAAAAAGGGAATTGAAATTACGTTGGTAGGCAGGCGTCGCAACGCGATTCGATACTCCACTTGTCCATAGATTATTGGGCGCGCATTCTGAACATGGAGAGAATATGACATTTCGCTTAGAGTCACTTTTCAACAGTTTATATTTTAGTTGACAACAATGTGACCCGGCTTCATGCAGCTGCCCGTAGGAGTCACCCACAGGGCATGTCATGGCTTGAATCGTGTTAAATTAATTAGTATTCTGGGATGAATTTGTTACAGAAGTTCTCTTGTTCTCTAACCCTAGAACTTACTCCCGCGTCTCACGGCTGCATCTCAGAATTAGTAGCTATATTGGAGATGACGATATGTGCGATTTAGTTAAAAATTTCTGACTTATTTGTGGAAGGCGTTGTTCCACTAAGCAGACACCTGAAAACCCGCGTTGTCGTCAACGTATCTCCAAACTTGACCCTGAGTACGGGAGATATAGCTGGAACTGTGACTCTATCACTATCTTTGATCACCTTTATTGACTAAATACTTTTTGGCCTCTGTCACAATTTATGTCCCATTCTAGCAATAATAACTACCACATCATCTCCACATTTTCGAGCCTAGCGCTCGCGGATTCTAGTTGCTATCGCAATGTCGCCATATTCGATTTTGTTGATCTCTTTTGCCTATCTGCGTTTCCTCTAACAATTTGGAGTTAAAAAATGATGGCGATACCTCCTTAAGATGATTTTATGTATAGCTATTATAATGAATAAAGGGATTGGTTAGTTGTAATTTTGCTATGCCAATGTCATCCTCAACAATGGATTCATATTTGAACAATGATTGAACACGTGAGCAGCGGAACTAATAATTTTGCGGTAGAATGAAAAAAGTTTGTCATCAAAAGGCTTTGGATTAATAATTGGACAAGAAACACGTGTCAAACATAATTTTTTTTTACTACTGTCAGCCACATACCACAATATGGAGAGCGTCACGTTGCATAGGTTTTGGACAACAAATAAAGAACTACTGTCAGCACATACCACAATATGGAGAGCGTCACGTTGCATAGGTTTTGGACAACAAATAAATCTTGGTGCTAATTCTTCAGAAGTTTCGTTCAAGCTTCAGAAAGCCATTGATTTGCAAAGGAACATCAGGTGAGATTTGCTATTTCGCTACGTGAGCGACGTCTTGGATAGAAAACCTGTGGACATACCCCTCAACTGCTCAACAATTATTTGCAGTCGCCTGAAAAAAAAACAGAGAATTTACGATACACTTCGAGTTAATGCACGACCATCATATGCCTGCAAACATGGCTAATTTCAGGTGGAAGACGCTCTTATCCAAAATTCGGCAAAGGTGGTTTACGCGGCAAGGTGGAAATCGTTTTGGAATAAAATGCAAGGGGATATCGTTTGTCCCAGCCGCCCCCACTTCTTCCACACACAATCGCCTTCTCTCTTTAAGTCACCTTTCATCATCTATAGAGGACGCACACTGTGATGCCTTATCGATCCCATTCCTGCAAACACCAAAAGTCCCCTATTTCAACAGGTTTGCCGGGAAAGTTCGCTGCGCGCGAAGCCGAACCTGTCCTGAAATAAACAAAAGACATGTTTACAGCGAAAGGAAAATGAAATGACACCAATACTGGTGTGTAGATGGGCAATAGGAAGTTGGGATTCTGTACGAAAAATTATGAAAGAATTATGTGAACTGGCGCGGTAAACTTTTTTTTCAGAATTACGTGGCTTTACAGCTACTTGAACAGCCACCTGAAGTGGCTGTGAGAAGAAAAAGTCATAAATTCCCCTTCCTTCACATGAATTTTTCGTATTTTCAACCAATTTGTTCTACATCAAAAACCCTACAACTAAGTTTTTGATCCCCTAACCCCCCTCGCCTAGTTACAATTCTCCAAATATTTTGTATGCGGCGGCAAGCCTGCTTCAAGCGCGCAA